TTTTATGAAAATGTTCTCTTTTCGAATACTTGTGCACGCCTTTTTTCATGTTAACAGACAAACATCTTAAAAACTCAATTAATCTTTTTGTCTTCGCAGTGAGGTATTGCAAGAATATGGGAGCAAAATGTCTGAGTTATCTAAGGGAGTCCTTAAGCTCGTATTAACAACTCTAGGAGATGGAATTGAGACAAAATATTATGATTCTGATTTTAAGAATTGCCATGGATATTTGAGAATAAACAACTACACGGCTCCAGAGAGTTTAGATGAAGAAGCTGAGGGTCTTGGAATGCATACTGATATGAGCTGTGTAACAGTCGTATATCAAGATGAAATAGGAGGACTTCAAGTGAGATCAAAGGATGGAAAATGGATGAACATCGCCCCATCGGAAGAAACCCTAGTGGTAAATCTTGGTGACATGTTGCAAGCTTGGAGCAATGAACAACTCAGATCATCGGAGCATAGGGTTGTTTTGAAGAAACCAGTGAATCGGTTCTCCCTAGCTTTCTTCTGGTGCTTTGAGGACGAGAAAGTGGTGTTGGCACCTGATGAAGTTGTGGGTGAAGGAAATAAAAGGATTTATAGGCCATTTGTTTGTTCAGAATATTTAAAGTTCCGTGAGAGCAATGAGAAAGGTAGGTTTGAGAAAGTTGGATTTACAGTTAAAGATTTTGCTGGGATTGGATTTCCAATGTAAAAGCCTGAATTTGGGTGTTTGTTGCATAGCATCTATACAGTTCTTCCAATCATCAGGCTAGGCTTAGAGTAGGATATTGCATTGTGAAAAGCGTTTTGTATCTATTTCGTTTGTCATAATATGTGCTAAAAATAATTGCTTGTTTACTCCAATTGGAGAACAATGAATGAGGGTGGTTGAGTTTCAAGGGCTTTGACCTATTATTTGTTGATTAGAAAAGCATTGTACAGTTGGAATTCCAACTTCCGACTTGAATCATGTGAATTTAGTTTCATATAATGCTTTTCTTGTTCTGTTGTGCAATCTGCAAAATTTGTCTTTATGTACCAAAGTCAATTCTGGAGGTATGTATGACTATTTGTTTATCTTTCTCCAAAATATGTTCTCTAAGGAAATGCTTGGTCAACTTACATTCTCTTGCCAGCGCATGGAGTTTTCATAGTCGAGTTTGATTACACCTAAGGCAATACCTTCTGCTATTAGGGCGCATTAGCTTAGTAATCTTTGTAATCATAAAACGGTTGAAATTAGAGTTAATACATACCTTTACGGTGTTACACCGGTACATGACAGTCGAAAAATTTCTTTACGAGTCTTGGCCAGTCCAACTAACCATGTCCTTAATGCACAACAATAATATTGTTTGTTGATTTGATTTCTTGAAATCAAATGTTAGAGGCATCTCAACTTTGAATTTCTTTGAAATAACAATTAATCATTGAGCATAGCAGGAGTACTTATCCAATATCTGTATTATCATGCTAGAGATTTGATTGAAAGTCATGTTATCAACTGATTTCTTTAAGCACCTAAGCCATGTGATCTATGTTGATTTGCTAAAAATCTAGCTGTTTTGGATCATCATTTAAATGAAACAATGAACCGAACAAAACGACAAAAAATATGCATATAGATGATCACAAATTTATTAAGAATAAAACTTAGTTCTGGTTGCTGGTCGATCGCTTTCAATGGCTCTGTAAGAATTAGCAGCTTGGGGGTCCAAAGATAGAAATTAAAGTTGCTTTTGTTGACATAATTTAAAAAGGTTAGTGCAAATAATACCAAACCTTGCATAAAGTAGGCCACTGTTTCTGTTATTGCAGACAGAGTGCTCATAAAATACTGTGAGTTAATCTCAATTTGTCACCAGTCAACTGTCCTAAAGTTGCTTTAATTAACATGTGACGTGTCCATCTTTATGTGCTGTGATTGATCTCCAACTGGGTCTGCTTAACAGTCCTAATACAAGTTACCAACTACTAATCATGCTAGTTATTTATTGAATTTTTAGCCTTCTAATATATGTTTCGGTTTGGTTTTTTTTTTTTTTAAATAAATAAAAATTGTGCGGAGGTTGTTGGATTCATTCCTGAACAAGTTGAGACGTAAGATCTCTTATTCGGCTAGTCATGAGACGTGCTTGTTTTGTGTGATGGGTTAAAGTCAAATCCTTTTTTTGAAAATTTGTAGCATTCAATCTCCATTCTTTCATACTTGTTATAATATATCTGGGGATTTTTCATAGATGTCACTAAATTTGAAATACATCAAAAATTGTCATTTTTACTAATGATGCTTAAAAATGTCATTTTTTGTGTGAAATGTCCAAATTACCCTTATCAATACATTTTTTGGGAGTATTTAATGCTCATTACTGCTTGATTTGAATGCACATTAATGCTTTGATGACCTAATTTGTGTACTTTAAACATTATATATACGTATATTATATTAGGTAGTAAAAATTTTTTAATTAAAAAAAAAAAGAAAAAAATTTGAAAATATAAACCAATTTCTTCTATCATTAATAAATCTTAACTTTCTTACCATCTTCTCCATTCCTTTATCAAGAAGAAATTATTATTGGATTCATCTTCCATTTTGAAAGGTTAGCATGTTAGAAATTGTTTATATTTTTATCTTATAACTTACTACTTTTGAAATGTTAAATAAAACATTGTCATATTTATTTGAAATTTTCAAAATTATTATTCGATTTGTTTAGTTTTTCAAATCTTTTGAAATAAATATATGAATATCCTCTACAAAATGTTGTAAAGAATTCTATATTTAATGAAGCATTGAGTTATTTAATTGGAAAGATGTTGGCATGCTGTAGTTGAGAATTGATGATCACCATTAATGTTTTGAATAATTTTTCCAATTAAACCCAATAAATATTTTGAACGATGCTTCTTTAATGATTCACTGCGCAAATTATTTGAGATGAAGATTTTGTCATTTGGTAGTACAATATTGATGATCATACTTAATGTTATGAAGAATTTGTTCACTGCGCAAATTATTTGAGATGAAGATTTTGTCATTTGGTAGTACAATATTGATGATTATACTTAATGTTATGAAGAATTTGTTCAAATCACACATCCTTTACATGCCTTTCGTCAGTTCCGACAGTTCAGCTGTCGAATTCGACATTTCAATACTGTCGAGATAGACATTTCAATTGTTTTCACCTGTTTGCTATTGTATAGATTTAAATATTCGAATGTACCACTTTCGTGTTATTAAATGGTGACATATTGATTGCGCAAAATTTTTACCATTGCGATCTCAACTTTTCAGGTATGATTAATTATTTGAGATTCATCATGTCGTATGGGGAAAAGTTTGTTCATGTAGATGACGAATGGAAGTGGATAAGGGACAAAACCACTTTAATTTTAGTTTCGACAAGTATCAATCTAGTTGGACTTGTGTTACGATTGAATGACAAACTTGATATTCTTGATCTCGGCACTCAAATTGAATTGAAGTTCAATGTCACGAATATGAATATACCTCCGGTCGAAAAACGCAAAGATGAAAGCTTAAATTGATACATATCAACTCATAAAGAAACTATCATATGCGTTACTATTTTGGATCATATTACCCCTTATTACCATGACAATTTGTATAATGAATAGGATTTTAAATTCTATTTATAAATTATTGACTTATAGTTCTCCTTAAATATGTGTAAATGACTTTCTTGGTATTCCATTTATAATATTATGTGTAATTGAGCTAGTTATCACAGAAGTTCGAATTTTACTGCTAAATAAACGACTTCTGCATTTACGTATTGCATAATTGAGCATAGGCGATTGTTGATCGTTGATCATCAATGTCTGCAATAAAAATCAAATATATATTATTTTGCTAAAACTGAATATATATATATATATATATTTCTGTTACATTTGATGTTAATACCCATCAAATGCCAGTGGTCAAAGTTTCCATATTTCCCAAAGGGAGCAAAGGTTTTAATTTTTTCCATTGCACTAGTTTTAATAACTATGTTTTAAAATGGTAAAAAATATTAAACTAAAATAATTGCACAAAAGATTGCTCCTGTGAAGAGTTGAACTCAATATCCCTCATCTCACTTACTAAATGAGTGCTATAACCAGTTAAAAGAATTGCTTCAAAATAAATGAAATTACAAATATGTATTCAGAAAAATATATACATTGATACCAAAAAAATATAATATCGGCAACTCCAATTAGAGCAACTGGCGCTACTCGCCCGGTGCTGGATCCATTGGTGATCGCACTCATTACTACTTGCAATACAGAAAGCCATCGAAAGGAGTATTTCATGATCTCAAGGTATCGAGGGAAATTGTACTATTGGTCTCAAGTAACAAGTTGACCTACAATCTTTTATTATAGTTTCAATCAGCCTTGGAGACAAAATCCACCCAACTCTATTAAATTATTACATGGGCTGGTGCTTGAAAAATTGAAGCTAAACTTGTTTTTGTGAGAGCAACTGAATATTTAATAGATATTCGGATAGTTTTCTCATGTTGGGGACTGGTTATGCAACCAACGAGCGATTGAATACTATCTTGCTCCTTTTTAAGGATTAAAGATCATTAATAATCAAATAAAGCCCCATGAATTTTAAACTTGTTCAAATGTAGAGATACCACATGAACCATCAGTTCAGAATTCAGAACAAGAGATCCAGAATCACGTCAACATTTTGGGAAGGGATTTTTGGAACACTTCCTCCACAAACTTCCAGGAAAAGTAGCTGATATAGGATAATGTAAAAAGGAAATTTCTCGAGGGCTTGAGTTTCTGTAATGGACATGGACGGACCCACGTGGGGTCAAGTGACCCTACAAAATTTTTTGAGTTTTTTTTTGTTCAATAAATCTATAGTTGTTCTAAGTCATATACAACAAGATACAATTTTTTCTCAAATTTATATATTATGTGAAAAAAATCTGTAATTGCTCTTTACGACCTAGTTTGATGTACTCATTACAACATGCCAATGAACTCGAAACATTGTATTCTTAATACCATTTCGAAGTGCTCACGATCTAATTTTTTGCATCTTAATGACATTCAAAATGGCCAACCGTAACAAAAGTTGCGGTGTGTTAAAATATATCGTTCTAAACTAATGGTTCAATAATTTTGATAATATGCTTGAGCAAGAAAGAATTGTACTTGAAAATTCATGTATTTATTTTGAAAAACAAGTTCCAATTCCGGGTAAGCAGGTCAAACATCAAAATGCTAATCACGGATGATAATTGCAAGTGGATGTTACATACTTCGACAATGAAGCAATCTGCAATCTTCTTGATTTGTAAATTCATCAATGTGCACACATGTTCTATAGATTTTCCTTTTGTAATTGTTGGTAATCAATGACCATGAGTACTTTTTGATCTTAAATGCAATATTTGCTTGTAGAACATATCCTTTATTATTAGGGAACATTCAATATGAAATAACATGATTTAAGTAGTTTTATTAACGTTATTTCTTTTACTTATGATATGTGTACTAGACATGGAAATAAATGTTACATATGTTAAAACAAGAAGAGCAATTGTCTTGAGATATTTTGATATTTAAACTTCTCATAATCAGAATTTAATCAAGCAGCCCAATTTTGTCCTGTGTTAATCAAACAAACCAACAAATATGTCGAAGGCAAAGAGAAACCAATCCTCTAAAAGAAAT